GGGTTTATCGCCGCTTTAACAGTATTCCAGTTATATCGCGGCGTGTCAGCTTAATGTGGGAGGAAAGCCCGAAGTGATGCAGGTCTCAGACGTTTACCACTTCGGTGAAACCCACGAGCACGGGTATGGTGCTGACAAACCTAGAAACATTATCAGGGCGAACTGGGATTCGAACCCACAATCATAGGTTTCTGGGGTGCCCAAGGGATGCAACTCTGCACAGCGAATCGCGGCGCCTTAGACGACTGGGCCACCCGTGCCTCTAGAGTGATCAGAATGTCTATCACGTCTTGTGTAGCTATCTGACTCAGGGATTGCGATAGAGCTCTTAGTAACCAGTCGTCGAGGTACGGATGGCAGAACCTTTTGACCTGGCCACTTGGGCGGGAATCAACATCAGCTTGGTGAACACCCTCGGGGCCGTGGAAATCCCGAATGGTAGAACCCTGAACTGATAACACCTCCCGTCGAAAGAAAACCTCAGGTATTTCTTGAACTCGGGGTGTATGGGTATGTGGAGATAGGTGTCTTTTAGGTCTATTGACGTTAGCCATTTTCCTGTCTCAACAGCTGAGATCACTGAGCGCAGTGTCTCCATCCTGAAGGACGGTACCTCTATAAGTTTGTTCAGTCTTCTCAGATTGAGAATAGGCCTGAACCCTCCGTCTTTTTTGGTGACTAGGAAATATGTCGAGTAGAAGCCCTCGCTTTCCTGTCCCACGGGAACCGGTTTGATCGCAGCCTTCATAAGAAGTGTGTCGACCTCGGCACGGAGGAATTCCGCCCTCTCTCAGGTAGCAGGCACCGGAGTGTGCTTTATCCCGGAGAAGGGGGGCGGATGATGTTTCCACCGAGGCAAATGGCCATCCCTTAGAGTGGACAGGGTCCAGGGATTGGATGTGACTGTCTCCCATTCCTGCAGGAATAGAGCCAGTCGGCTGCCTACGGGGACATCCGGCTTGAGGCAGTGGACCCCGGCTGTCGGCAGTTCGATAACATGCGACCGTGGGTCCGCCCGGGGCACTTCGGGCGCTAATGGGAACCTGATGGGTTCCCGTCCCCGCAAAAAGGCTGCTGGCCTCGACCAGCTGCCCTGCCCCGGCCCCTGCCTCTCTTGCTCCTCCCGGCGCCCTTACCTGAAGGAAGCGGCTGCTTCCAAGCAGGTGCAGACTTCTGACCCGGCGCGTCAGCGTAGGAGGAGTCAAGTGGAGAGGTCCGCTTACGCGGTTTAATGCATGGTACCTCCAACAAGGCCTTAGAATCCTTGATGGAGGCATACAACTGTGCGGCCTCTCGGACCACCTGCTGAGCCCCAGGGAAGAGGGTGGCACACATCTTATATGGCAAAGCAAGTAGATCCTGGTGTGTGGAAGCCGAGTATTTGGATACCGACATCCACAGCCTGCGCATGCCCATGACTGCACACATCATCTGCGAGGCACAGCTACGAATAGCGTCCCTCGCAAGATGACTATGTACCTCCGTAAGTTGCGCAGCCAACTCCGAAGAGTCGGCCGGACCCTCTCCTGTTAACTCCCTCTGTACGGCCGACAGATATGCGGAGTGTACGGACACCCAGAGCTGGAAAGGGTGGCAACCGCCGGCCCTGCTTGACCTTAGCCAAGTTGGGGGTCGAAGACCCCCCCAGGATAACGGAGGTCCAGACGCATTCGTGCACAACCGGTACCTCAAATTCACCATCCTCTTCTAATGGGTACCGCTTAATAAGTTCGGGCAGGTTGAACTTCCTGCGGGCACCCGACAACAGGGGGTTGATGACTTCATGCACCAATGAGGACAGAATACGGAGCCGCACCTGGGGCGCCTTGCTCGGAGCAAAAGCGTCCCTCGGAAGGCGGAACTCAGTCGGATCCGACTGGGGCATGGGCGCAGCCACCTGAGGCAGTACCTGGACAATCTTGTCCAGTACATGCCTCAACAAGGAAACGAAGGAAAATATTCCCAAGGTCTCCGAGTCGTCTCCCCCCTCCACCATCCACTCCTCCTCTCTCGATTCTGAGCCGAAATTAATCGACTCTTCCCCGAGAGAAGAGGCAGACGAAGTCGGAAGGGGACGCCCAAAGGCCTGGGCCTTCGCATCCCCGGGCCGCACCCGGCCCGAAGCTGAGTCCCGGTCCCGAGGTGCCAGGGGTTCAAGGGAACCCACCTGGCTCTGGGCTAGAAATCCGCTAGAGGAAGCCTCGGCCTCGGAAGAGGCGTCTGGCTCCGCTAGGGAGAACTGTGCGTCGGTAGTGAACAGGCCAGTGCCTGCCACCCCTCCGCTGGGGAGCGACCTCGAGCTGGCGCCTCGGCCGACGCAAGGCATATCACGAGGTCTCGAAGCCGGGTCCGGCGCCGACAACGGGGAAGACTCGGTCTGCATCTCCTCTCGGAGCTGAGACTTTACCTCCTCCATCATCGACTTCAACAAGGCAGAGATGTCTGCCAAAGACGGTGCAGGAGAGGGTGCAGTGATTGTGACGGGGACCCTATAGCCTTCTCCCCCGGCCCCTGGCCGATCTAATATCCACCCCCGCCTTCAAGAGACTCTTAAAGTGTAAGAGGTCCACATTTCTCTTTTTCTGCGCCCGGGGGGTGAAAGCAATACAGATCGGGCATGACCCATCGTCATGCCCGTCTTCCGCCAAACACTTGATGCAAGTATCATGCCTGTCTTGGGGGGGGATAGATGCCGAACACCCTGTACACAGTTTGAGTGTCTGTAAAAAAGACCGTAATTTCTGAGTTGGGCGGGAAGGGTAATAAAGTGTATCAGTGCAATTGAAAGATCGGAAAGATACGTGCATAAATTGTGAAACTAGAAGCAAAGGCGTAATTTAGAATGTAATTGGTAACGCAATACTAATAGCCAATGTCGTAGTATAATTATAACACCAAAGTGGGCGTGTTACGCGTGAAGGTGTAAAAAACCTGTAAAAAAAGGTAAGTGTAATTTAAAAATAATTAACACACCACCTTGGGTTTATAAAGGAAAAGAATGTAGGCTAAAGCCCGATGATATAACATTAAAAACCCCAAGCCGTTTTTAATGGCCCTGGTGTTAAATGTATCATACGTGGCACTACAAAATGGACGCTATGACGGCCTTTGTGTCAAAGGTATCTTACACGTGTCACATAATTAAAACTTTAAAACTTTACAATGCGAGGTATTACGCCTTTGCATGAAAGAAATGTACCATACATACAGTTTGGTCTGCCATGGTTCTTGTACGAACGATTATCTTGTACTTTTTTTAATCTTGACAAAAACAGCACGTGTCTTTGTCAGATGACATAAGGAAAGTGATTTGGGTGAGAGTTGCTTCCCTTGGCGTGACACGCCGTGGAGGGTGAGGCACCATAAGGGTGGACGTATATCATACAAAAACGAAGTTTTTTGTGTGGTAACAATTTTTATTAAGGAAAATGGTTACAACTATGTCATGTAGATTTTCTTGAGCCAGGAAAATGCAATAAGTGCCCCAAGGAGGATTTAATCTGAAAGAGAATACCAAATAAAACAAACTGATAAAGCGTTTGAATGATAAAAAAATAACATTCAGCACACATACAGAAACAAAACTGAACTCCCAAAAACAAAAACATGCAGCTAGATGTACAAGTAAACCACACAATTCAAGACAACAATGTAGCCTACAATTTGACATGTCTGAAAAGAAAAGGTTAAGTGAAAAAATTAATTTGACCCTGCAAGATTAGACACTAAACGTAAGCTTTTCTATATTAGCAGTATGTACAAAGCAAATATTTCAACAAGGTATATTTTCACAACAAACAAAAAAAATACATAAAGTCTGTCGTGAATGTTGATACTTTTATGAACAACTTTATGTCATTTTGTACAAGTTCAAGGCTTTTCAAGCTATTTTGGTCACAAGTCTTTACTTACTATAGATTTCAAAACAAAGCATACATATTGACAATGACCATGATGACCTAGACTGAACAATCTTGTTATCAATGATACACAACACTTGAACACTGTTGAAGTGTGAAGCTGTAAAGAATGCCAACTACAAGCTGTGCCCTGGCTCATCACAATATCTACAAATGATCTAGGACATACGGACTATGTACATACAGTTTTGAAAGTAAGCAAGAAAGTCAAGGTGTCCTTGTTTGTTGTTTAATGCCGCACTCAGCACTATTCCAGCTATACGATGGCAGTCTGGACATAATCCAGATCAAACAATCCAGTGATAGACATCATGAGCATCAATCCATGCAATTGGGATCGATGACGTGCATCAACCAAGTCAGCAAGCCTGACCACCCGATCCTGTTAAGTCACCTTTTACAGCAAGCATGGGTTGCTGAAGACCTATTCTACCCCGAATCTTCACGGGTAAGGTGTCCTTAGGTTGAATATGTGATTGATGCGGGTAGCCTAGTGGTTAAAGCGTCCGCTCGTCACGCCGACGACCCGGGTTCGATTCCCGGCATGGGTACAATGTGTGAAGCCCATTTCTGGAGTCCCCCATGATATTGCTGGAATATTGCTAAAAGTGGCATAAAACCATACTCACTCACTCACTAATTGATTGGGTCCCTAGATTTAAACACAAAAGGAGCTGTATCTCCATTCAAAAGTTGATAAAATCATGAAAATGTCTCCATCAAAATCCATGTATGGCAGTGAACCAGCATGACTAGTGAAGTAGGGTTAACATGCAGACAAAGAACTACTGTAGTGGCATGCTGTAGAGAAAGGGGAGCTGATCAGGAGAAACTAGCAACACTGTCCACGACCTCAGAGTGCACTTGCATCTAATATCTACACATAGCAACTGCAAAACAGCTCACTGCAAAGCATGCAACAACTCGTTCTTATATTCCCTCCCTCCAAAAAAATTAGCAATGAAACTTCGGTGTGTATGTTACAATGTCTTACATACAAGAAGTGGACTGACTGAACGAAATGGAAAATTGTTGTGTACCCTGCTGTCTGGACAACATGACAGGCAACATGGGGCTTACCAAACTTGTAATGGCTCACAAGGAGATCAGGTGGAGAATTGGCATTCAGGTCCACTTGGTTGATCTTCAAGGGGTCTAAATCTGCTATATGATGCCCACGAATCTAGCAATAACCAAATACAGACAAAAGAAGGGTTAAAGACAACTTGCGTAGAGAAGGCAAACGCCCTTATCCCAGCAATGGAGAGCAAAAGAGAGGATCTGAAAGAAATGTAGAGACAAAGGTCACTTTCACACAACATGCACATGGAACAACACACTGCACAGTCATAACATGATTGGCAATAATGAAACATTTACCATCACTACAAAATTACCTGGCATTATGTGTTCAGGTGCTTCCATAGCACCCCACAGCACAGCTTATTCCAAATTTATGCTGTTGACTAAGCATGGCACTATATAATAATTAAAACCCTTGAAAATGAGGACAAAAAATGCTATGATTTCCCAGGAAGAAAGCAAAGAGGTGATGTTGGGCTAGGGTGCGGTACCATGAACTGCAAACAGATGAACATTAGCAGGACCTTGATAAGTCATTCCTCTGTTGACTGCCTTCTCTACCTGCCAACGAAGGACATATTACACACAAAGTAATAGATTTGCAATACAAAACCAATCCTGTGAACTAAAGGGAAAACATTCAACAGAACACCAGCAAACTCAACAAATATAAACTACAATAACCCCGGCATACCTACCCAAACCGTAAGTATTAGGTATGAGTTCGCTAGGGACCTCGGAATCTAGATCCACGTCAGATATACCAAGGGGGTCCAGAGTTGCCACATTGTGACCACGGATCTGCAGTACCCATAAAATATCACACATTAATATCACCAATTATAAAGGTTTGCAACTATTTATCTGTTTTATAAAAGTGTTTCTGAAACTCAAGTCTGTGGTTCCTGTACCATGGTCGATAGGAAAACATTAAATTTTGAAGAAGATCCTGAAAAGTATCATTTCTAACATGTCTAATGTGTGTGTATTTGTTGTTTTACACCTAATTCAGCAATATTCAGGGTAAGAAATATATATGTATTTTCCCTAGTCCACAAAATAATCTGCTTCAGTGTTGCCATCTACCCAATGGTAAAAGTGGTCGTCCACCAGGAAATTTCACAAGTTCTTCCTGAATTTTACTGATTTTGGATTGATAGACTTACATGCATTTCAAACCCTGCAAATATTAGATGTGTATGCGCAACAATGGTTGAGTAAGAACTCATCATTGATGTGCTTTCAGCAATGATTATTAGTACAATATATCAATGAGCAGAAAAACGTGTGCACACGAATATTTAAAATATTTCAACATGTTCAAGTGAGGTTAGAGGTAAAATTAGAAATATTATACAGATATTATTTTAGTCACAAGTAACTCTAAGTTTGAAATATTGTGTGAATGTGAATCTCATAGTTTAAGATATATGTACAAATTTAATGATCATATAAGAAGACAATCACATTTGGGAATGAAGGTTTGCTCAAAATAGGCATGACATGGAACTAGGAGTTCAAGATTGAGGAAGTTTGCAGTATAGGCAAAATCAGGAGCAGCACGTTACCAAACTGAATGCCCAATACTTTACTCCTAGAAACATGCAGCATGGACCAATTGGACTTCACCAATACCTATTCATCTTTGACCCCTAATGCTGCCCCAACTACTCTAAAAAATGCATGGCTTAATGATATCACTTCCAGGTGTGGAAAATCATACATTCAATGCAAAACAGCCAGCCTATACCTCCAGCTAGTAGCCACCAACTAATAAAAAAGTGTCACGTCCGGTTGAATGAATTTAACACTCAATTTTAGACAACGCCATGATTTATTATTTTTAATTATTACACAGGTATAAGCTCTTATATGCATGTCATACCAACACATGAGTTGGTTCAGGACACAAAGAAACAGAACCAGCTCAATAATGACTCAACACCTTACCACTTCGATGCCTCACCCTCTGACCCTACTACAATGAACATTTCTTGAGAGTGAACATACTACAATTCTCAGAGGATCACATGTAGAGAATCTGGCCTTCAATATCAGTTGCAAGTTTTTAAATAATATTCCAACAGGGCTATCCAGCATATAAGCTCAATATGATGTCCTTTGTTAGAATTTCCTGACAAAATTGCATATGCTACTCATAAAATGTAAGTCAGTGTGACATCATGTATTCAAAGAATATAACTACAAGTATAATACCTGAAAGAAACCAGCAAAATAGGCATTTTAGGAAAAATGGCAAACTTCACAAATGACCTTCACTGTGACCTTGACATGACCTTTAGTGATTTCAGTTTTACCATAAGGAAGACATGTACCAAGTTTCATTGACCTACAGTATATGTCCTCCTTGAAATAGGTAGGGCAAGGTGGGGTAGCCCAGTTGTTATAGGTGTTTGCTCGTCATGCCAACCACCCAGGTTCGATTCCCCACATAGGTACAATGTGTGAAGCCCATTTCTGGTGTTCTAAGTGGTAATATTGCAGCAAAATTGTTAAACATGCTAAAAGCAGCCAAAACCTTACTCACACACTCTCTCATTCTTGACATAGGTTGTAAACAAATTTCTTGTTGAGCAATATCTTAAGGATGACCTTGCCACTTGACATGACGTATTCAAATAATATAACAATATGCACATGAATATTTTTTTAAATAGTGCCACGGCACTGTAACTCACATGGTTATCTGGTCAAAAATTGTAAATGTCAACAAATACAATCACTTTGTGGTCAGGTCAGCATTAATTCTCAAATACTTTGTGCACAGATGCTGAAACAATTAACTAAATGTCCACACTGTTTCCAAATCAGCAAGAATAAATGTACTATTGTAAAACATTGTTGCAATACACAGCAGTTAAACTTACTTTGCACAAAGTTTCAAATCAGCTTTATACACGAAAGAGAATTCTTTTCTAATGCCATACAATTTGTCCACAAGTTTCAAATAAAGTACACTTTCATCCCAATAATTTGAACAAGTTCAGCTTCAACAGTCTGGCCATTCAGAAATTCATTTGAGGGAATTTAAGAGAATGACATTACATTTTGAGCACAAATGGATGAGCAACAGCCATTAATCATGTTAATAGCTTGTTCAATATGGCTACCTTGATGGCCATACAAAAATCAGATTCAAACATCTTCAACAATTTCAGGTCTCATCCACGATGGGAATCAGCATGTGAAGTTTCTGCTTCATCGGACAAATAGTTTCTGAGCAGATGACCTTTAGTATTTCTCAGTTCAAATCATGAAAAAAGCAATATTTTCTTAGAAAATCCACTTTTCGAAATCAAACTTTGCACAGCGTCTCCACTATTGGTATAGAAAGTGTTCACCAAGTGTGAAAAGAATCTATGCAGTAGTTTTCAAGTTATAGGTCGCACACGAAAAAGTCCTCGGAAGGACGTACAGAATTCCTTGGTGTAACAATATACCCCTGTTCTTTTACATGTTTAAAGACAGGAGTAAAATTAAACAGTACGGTCAAAACTTAAACTATCGCAAAAAAATGGAGCACATGGTTGAGTCCCAGTACTAACTACACATATACCAAATTTCAGGACAATTGAACAATGATGTCTGAATACTGACTTTTAAAAGGTTTTTCAATCTAGCTGTTGTGGCAGTTTCAAATTTCTTGAACAAATACAGTTGTCATCATTGATTGGAACAAGCATGTGAAATTTCAGCTTCATATGTCTACTGTCTTCAAAGGAGATGGATTAAAGTGAGCAAATGTCCAGGAGAAACCCACGAAAAATAGAAAAACTTGTGTCAAACCCCACTACTAAATACATAGGTACCAAATTTCATTACACTGTTCACAAAACAAGGCCATAATTGGCTTTTTCAATATGGAAAATCAGATTCGACCTCTTGAACAAATTGGGTTGTCATCATTGGTGGGAACAAGCATGTGAAGTTCAGGCTTCAGTGGTTCAGTGCTTTCTGGGAAGAAGATGTTTACAGATGACAGGCAAACAGGCAATGACATAAGCTCACTTGACTTTCAGTCGGGTGAGCTAAAAATTTGCAGAAATGCATTGGGTCTGGACAATCAGTTTGAAAACCGAGAATTTAAGAAACAACAGTGTTCAACTTCAGCGGCACCTGGATTCTAACACAAGTTCTGTAAAGTCAGTATGATATACACACAATGTAATCTCTTTATTATCCTTACTTGTCTCTGTATTGAAGAATTTCTTTATTGAAAAGCATATCATGAAGCTATCAGGGCCAACAGTGATAACCACAACATCACTATTAAAACATCATTAAATATTACTTCGACAAATTTTGAAAGACATCATGAATAATGAAAGCTTTGTCAACACTAGCGATGGAAACTAACCTGATATGAGCGGATAATAGACTGAACAGACAAATGATCCTCTATAGTCTTCTCATCTACTGGTGCTCCTTGGGCTACAGCATGTGTGGGAATTGGAGCAACGGTCAAACTGGCAGCAGACAACGATGGTGGACGGACGTAAGCTTGACCAGGAGGGGCTCCACGTGCAGTTTGACGAAAGAAAGAATCCCAAGACTGAAAAAGAGGAAACATTTACTAAAAATCATTAGGGCTGAAATGATTGATGTAATAAGTGGGTCAACAGATAGAAATGACACATCTTGACTAGTCATTTCATGAAACAAAGGCAGTGTTGGGAAGAAATGAGCATTTCACCATGCATTGGTCATAACACAAATCCTACATAGTTAATATCTTGTGTATCTACCAGATGTTCCATGTCCAAGTACCTGTCTGTATCATGTCTATCAAAATCACACATTCTTACAAGTGTAAATCAAACAGCTTGTGCATCATAAATATTGCCTTATGTAAATTACCATGATTACTGTAATGTGAGAATTCAACATGAAAAAAACCCAGCATGAACAGCCTGCTTTGGTGTAACTGCCCTTGGATTCAACTGTTTAAAAATGGTATGCCCAACATGAGCAAGGCAGTTTTAAGTCATCCTAAAGATCCCACTTCTGAAACTTTGAAAAAGGTTATGGATGACCAACACTGTGTTACATTTCAGCATATTGCTGTCACATCCGTCAACACTTGCCCTTTTCTGTAATCTGCAAGAAGGCACATCCCCAAAACAATTCAGAATGTGTTTAAGGATTGAGGTACTTTGATAAAAGTAATCCAGAGTGCTAAAATCAATTATGAGAAATATGTGATCATCTAAAAAATATTGAAAAGTATATTTTGATATGTACTAAGGATGCTAAGTAAGAGGTAATAAAAAAAAATTAGCCACCAGTTTCAAATCAATACATATTCATATGTAACCAATTAACTTTGGCAATGTTTTAGGAGTTGGTAAAATAATGAAAGTTAAATGTATAATGACAATTCAACACAAAACTTGCAGCAATGATTTAATACCTGTGACACATTCAATACAACACATACCTAACAAAGTTTGGTGTAAGTAGATTCTCACTGCAAATTATATAAATGTGACCATAAATGCTATTGGTGTACATGACTGAGCATCAGCCATGCCCAGCAAGGGATCGAATCGTTTTGTACAACTGACAACCTTCCAAAGCAATGGGTAGAAACACAGGCGAATAGACTACATGTACCTCACTTATGTGTACCTGACTGAGCATCAATCAGGCCCAAGCTGTGGGATCAATTGATGACAGTTATACAGAGAATTACGAACTGGTTCCGACAATTAACGACACATCTATCATTTAACAGACAGAACACCTTGGATGATAAATACATGGAGGTCAAGCATGACCTGTGTTTTGACAACAGGCATCCAATGCATCTTATCTGAAATTATGACTGCTGGGGGTAAAAATACTGCATATGCTCAAAATTATGACTGCAAATACAAATAAATGAATACTACAGGGAGAATCTGGAAGCACGAAATACATGTGAAACAAGGATATGCATGGACGGTAGTAGGGGATGGGGGTGGAGTTGCTTGTCATTGTTTACAAAACATGTACAAAACATGTACAAGATGGCTGACATGGAAGCACTGCTGCACATGCTCGTACCTAGGCATGCTGGGAAGTTGCCTCATCTAAGTTACTATAAATAGCATCACGCATGATACACGTATGTATTACTGATGGTTTGACTTACTATAAATACTTATAATAATATTAATACATAACCAGGTGGTTAGTGTTACACTTATAGTCTGGAAGTTAATTTAAGGTACAGACGTTTACTACAATATCTGATATCTGAAAAACTATCGGACCTACTCCAGTCAAAGTTGGTATGAGATTATTAAACAGTCATACATAACTGGATATTACATTTAAAGACAATCGGTGCATGAATAAAAAATCTGTCTATTTAGCTATCACTATATTTCACCAACAACCAGACCTGTTCGTCACGGGTGGAACGAGCATTCATTGTAACAGCCATCTGCATAATGCTATCCCTGCATCACAGGGCCATATGACACAGTTGAACCAATCAACTCAACTCGAAAGGTTGCACGGGAATCACTCATGCACGAATACGGTGTTAGCGTTGGGCGTCTCAAGCAGTTATTTAATAATATTTTTCCAATTATTTTTGCATTCTTTTTCAGGTCAGTGTTATTGACTTGAATGTATCATTCCTTGCCTCATTATTATATTTCATTAAATTATTATTTAAAAAAAATCCCAAATCTTCAAGACACCAGTTCACAACTAGGCCTATCTAAGTGTCAAGTTTGGTGAAGAAAAATTGTACTGTTTTAAAGATCTAGTCCGGAAACATTTTCAAGTTAAAGTCAAAGTTGTTGCTATGGAAACTTGAAACATATTTCTTTCAAAAATCTCAAACAACCAAACGGCACCACTTCACCACTAGGCATTCTACTAAGTTAGGCGAAGAAATACTTCTTAATTGAGGCTAAATTAAATTAATTATAACCATTAACATGATTAAAGATTTCAAGATTTCTTAAGAGAAATAGATAATCTTAAATTTTGCACATATTCTGTTTTGGCTGATCCCTGAAAGACACATTTAATAATAATGATACCGGATGACATATCAAACGTGAACTTTAAACTCAAAGACAAATGAGACAAGTCCATTATTCTGATGAGACACTAAATGCTGACAGAATTTGAAAGACCTCAGTGCTCTTTAATGTGCTCAATGCTAGTGTCAAAACACATTCGATGGAGTGTGTTGCCAGCATTTAGCATAAGGACACCTCCAAATAAAACTCATAATAACTGTTAAACAGGTTGGCTTCACATACCATTTACAGAGCTCCAGATAACTTTTGTACTCAAAGGTTTCTATTCTAATTGGCATGATTGGGTTTTTCACTCATCTATTCATCACTCTATTGGGACTTTCACCCAAATGAGTAAACATTTTAGGATTTAAGAAAGAAAAGAAGTAATGTGTGTGTTTCAGAAAAAGGCCTCTTTCAACTGTATTTCAGTATATCAAGTAGGCCACTACCCTGTATACTGCAGTATAAAATATCTGTATTAATATTGTGGTATTTGGATTGAATTGAAAGTTGCAGGTACTTACAAGTAAATGCAAAAATCAATGTTCTGTCAAGCAACTCCAACCACGCCAACTGCATTATTTTGATCAGGAAGTGATACATCTGATTACTCACTAATAATCTGACATTAAAAAAACAACAATTACTTGAACACATGATGGTAAACACATTAAATGGTGGGAGGCAAATGTGCATTACTTTTTATCAGAATTGTTAAATACAGGTTACAAATTGAAATACACTGACATATATAACACGCTGTTTTCAAGGACTTAATCAATTTCTAGACCTTGTTTGATGTCATCATCAATGTAACGTTTTTTTATGAAGTTAATGTATTTGAAGCATGCATCATTTTATACTTTTTTAAGACAAAGCCTAGTCATTTTGTTTTTTTAATTATCTTGAAAGCAACATACAAACCCACAATTGTATTGGTAACATTTTGTAAACAAATGAATAATTTAACAGAAAAATTCAAGGACCTTTCCAGGATATATGCACAAATTCAAGAACTTCTCTCATACTTTGGTGGCAAATTAGTACATTCAAGCAATATTATCTAAAATTAGTCAAATTCAAGCACTTTTCATGCATGTGTGAACCCTGTATATGGACACATCCAAGTTCAGCAAGTTAAACGTCTTCCCTGTCTCATTTACTATTTGGACATCTATACTGGAACATGAGAGATGTCCAAATATTAAATTGGGCACAGAAGGCAACTAGGATGAAATCTAATTTGACAAACAGGATATCATAACTTTTTTCAGCCAACAGTCAAGAACATTTATTAAAACTGTCAAATCACAAGCATAGACTAAACACTTCATGTCGTGTTATGGGAGGGAACATGGAATAGTGCATTCAGCTTCGGGTCAAGATGAGGGCTCGGTATCTCCTCTGCAGTAGAGACCAGTTCTACATGCAGTGAAGTTTGGGTGCAATTCTTTTATGCAGTGTAGTATCAGCCTTGATTCGCCAGTCCCAGCAGATGCCCATAGATTTCACTGCAACATAAAGCATGCTTTCCTCCCGCCATAATACTGGACACTGTCAGTGTCAGATAACTAAAATACTGTTGGAAGCAGAGTAATACCCAAAAACACACTTCATGTGTTGTGGGGATACTACATTGTCAAAGCAACCCTTTCCCCCATCAGTCAGCACCTGAACATGTTGAACTTCCAACTTGAACAGTTAGAACAAAATATTGAAAACTAATAAAATATCAGAAATGATATTTTAAGATTTTTGGGGATAAACATTGGATGAAAATAAATTGTAAAAAAATGGAAACATGTTAAAAATATATATAAGCACTCCTGTTAAGCCAAAAGTATGTATTTATGATTTGGCTACTAGTGAAGAAAGTACTGCTAAGTATGACATTTTGGCCCTAATTATCTCCTAATATATCCTGACCACAGCGCGGGAAAATGTGCGGGCTACGTAACTTCCGTTACCTTATTAGTCGCCATGAATATGTAGATGAGCTAGTTCAGGTCGAGAGAGAAAGTTTATTTGGGAAACTGCCGGTCATATCGCTGTCCATTGACAGATGGGGGTAAGGCAATAATAAAAAAATAAAAAGATACCAGAAGTAAGTATCAATACGATAATGACCCCTAACTTGCAGCAGACGGAACATTCCGAGGAAATTGAAATTGTTTACGGAGCGAGCACTTCCTGGTTACTGATTGTCATTAACAGACACCCGCTAAAAGGCGTGTCCCGTGTGAGCGACCGGAAATCACAAATGCTGCGATACGATGAATGCTGCGGTACCACGAGGTCAGAGTATACACGGAATATGCCAGAAATAACATGAAAAAATGGCGATAACTGGTCGCTAGCTTCGACGTGTACACTTTCAAGTGTATCCAGTCCAGAATGACATGTTTTAACTGTTCAGCAGCACTTGCGACTTGTGATAACTGTAACTGTAACTTGTATGCTTGAATAATTACGATCTTGGAATATTCTGTCGGAATGAATCCGGAATAGCTGTCGGAATCTCAGAAATGTCAGACGTCATCCGGACGTGAACAAAACGTCATCCGGATGTCCACAAATGCTGGTACCATAGTTGAAATTAGTGTGAAGGCTGGGAGTTGTTCCACTGTCATAAAAGGCTGTAAGTGGGATCTTTGAAGTACCTGTTAACCTTGCTAGAATAGGAATTTTTGTTACAATATTCACATCAAATTCAAGGTTATGGATGAATGACATTATATTTCAAATTTGTTGGGTCTACTTTTGACAGAAAAATGTAGAAGGGAACACTGTAAGGATAAGGTTTTTGAATCATCAGTGTTGAGGAATGAGCCTATATGGCGCGAACTGAAAACGGCTTCAGGTGTCAGAAGTCAAACTTGCGGGTACGCATGAATGACATGGTATTTAAAAATTTGTCGGGTGATTTTTGTGACAGAAAAGTGTGTTAAGGAACACTGTGAAAATAATGTGAATCATAGTAAAGAACGAGGGAGGCAGAAGCATGGCTGGTGACGACACTAGGGTGAGTACTGAATCAGTACTGAATAAATGTTGCAGATGAAAGTGACTTGTGTGAATGTTCCAGGACAGTTTCCAGTAGCCAAAATATTTGACACTAAACCATTTCACCCTGCTTTCTTGACGTTTTAGTGTGAAGAATGTTAGGAGCTGCTATAGAATCTATTATAGTCACTAAACGGCTACCTAACCCTAATGATTGTAAAGCTAGGGTTAATAGATCGTAAAGGGGATCTAAGGGCTAAGGACAGAGTTCGGGGTAACGTACCCTAAAACTGGTGACATTTGGATGTGTTCAGCACCAATATAATATACCCAATGAACTGCATTCCTGTGCATAATAAAATATATATTGAAATTAAAAGTGCTTTCACAAACTAGTGCTTGCTATAAAATGTACTGCCGCAGGCTTAATCTAGTAAACAAATATTTCAAAACTCTCAACATATCTGGGCTTATTCAATGACATTGCGTGTACAGATGATAGATCACTGGGAAGAGCCTATGCACAATCGATGACTCCTGACGCCACAGGGCATTGCTTCGCCAGTACGACTGGAACAAAATACTACAAATTATGTCATAGGGTATTGTGACATGTTTGAAAAGTTTGTGGTACTGTATTCTAAAGGTAGGCCCTTGTATACCAAATAATCACCTTATGAACACTGTCAGGATCTTTCTGCCATGCCACATACATGTCCTCAAGATATGCCGAGGAACTGCCACTGAGGAAGGGCTCTGCTGCTGCTTGGGTAGCATAAGTTTTTGCTTGCCTGGATGTGTCATCAGAGCGACTGGAATATGCTCTGCTCAAACAAGATGTTCGAGCACTTGACAACAAAGTCCTTACAGACAAGCGATACATCATGTAAACGTCTTTTTTACGTGAAAATGTCTTATATTATGGCAAAGATGGTGATCAATCATAGATGCCAGCCTGGTGGCTGGACGACACTGTAGTGGATACTGTCAACGTTGTCTGGTCTTGTTTCCAACTGGGCCTAGTAAACCATCTGTTGATGATCTGACGGTATACGTTTCCGTTTGTGACCTTCAAGTATACTCCACACAATTACGAAACAACCAAATTGGGGGTAATTAATCCAAACGCATAAATCTTTGTTTCGAAATGTTGCTTTCTTTCACTTTTCTGATTGTCGAAACTCAAAACTCGCTTTGGAGCAACAATCTGTGCTTTGACTTTGTAACTTCTCAGGAAATGGCGACCTTGTCGTCCGCGAGAATATCTGCAACACGAAAAGCATGAGATATGATCATGAAAGGTACTAAGCTGTCTGAGAAAACACATAACGTTAAGATGTCGTAAATAAAAGACAATAAACATCGTATGTTCTACGTACATGTATTTTCTTACTCTTCCTCATCAACCGAAGTTACCATCTCAATGTCAACTGTTAGTCTCGCGTGATACCGCGAGAGTGAAAGGTGCCGTTTTGGCGGGTGCAGGCTAAAACGGCACCTCACCAAAACGTCACCGATTACTCTGGCGAAAACGGCATCGCATTTGGCGAAAACGGCTACTATGTGTCGGGCGAAAACGGCACCTCTATTTTTAATAATGATAAGAACGATTTTTGTAGTAATATATATGGTTTATATAATGGTATTTGATGTATTTACATTTTATTGGATGTATGTGATGTATTTACACGGACGAAGCCATCGGGTAAGAAGTCCTCGGCAATCTGAAAATATGAATAAAAGTTAAAATACAATATTTGTTATGTTACAACATTTCGGTTATTCTGAGAATTTATACAATAGCATTATGTAGTTTATCTTATTATTAGTAGTACCTCGAAGTCCAATGTCCTCGGCTATGTCTTGGTGTTTGCAAGTTACCATGTAAGTTTACTATCATTTATTTACAACCGGTAGTGAAGTATGACAGTAGACGTCATGGCCGCCAACGATCTTGAAGAACGATTGGGGTTAGAGGCATACTGTGTATAAGAGTCTCCCAATGGCGATTTGAGGGAATCTGTCACACCCACTCCTCTTGCAACATTGCACGTTGACTTTCTGTCAGGTTCCAGCATATGCTAATAATAGGCATGAGACGCTCCATGCATAGCAGGCGTCGCATCGCTAGTTCATACACAAACAATGCATGAAATCAAGTAAATCACAACTGTATGCTGAGCAGAATCAATGCGATTGACAAACAAAATTTGCCCACAGTGATTAACGACCTTCCTTGAAAGTGTCAAAATCAGGAATGACACCTAACGCACATGTGTGGCGCTACAACTTGAGGCACGTGAAGACTATAGGATGTGTTTTGGTGTTAAGTTTTACAGACATAAACGTTCTTGCATAGGGTGTTTTTGTCAATTTCCTAATACCGTATTCGACGTTATAAGCGCCCACGGCGATATTTGCTAACATATTGGCTAGTGAACAATCCAAAAAAGCACCTCTTCCGTTTGATCAATGGACAAAAGACTTATTTATTCGCGTATAATCTCGTGTGTTATATGCACCCTTAATTGTGGACAATTAAATACTGGAAAGATATATCTGTCATATATAAACATTTCAGGCTGTCAGCATAAACCACGAAATTTATCTTTCAACTCTGTTTCTTCCACGAAAATAATATTCTAATAAGAGCCCCCTATTTCTAATTTGAGAGCGCCCTAGGCGCTTATTACGTCGAATACGGTACTTGGTATTAACATTTGTATTTCCTACTTTTATATATAACGTCCATTTTAAGTGCAAACGCTGCATTTTCTCATGATGTCCTTAATACATATGTTAATCCGTAGTATCGATTACAGTTTGTTATAGAAAAAAACACCACACCGACGTCTGTTGTTCCCTTTGTAGGTTTAATACGCTGTTGCCACTCATGTATATGTAGCTTATGCTATATTTCCTCCCGGGAAAAATTCCCGAATTTGAGTTCGAACAGTGGTTTGAGCCGATGTCCGTTAGTCCTGAAGTCGAAGCACTAAAAGGGCAAGCAAAGTGAAAAAAATATTGCAATTTTTTGGCGAATACCAATCGTCCTATATACTCGTATGTCAAATCATTTTCCGAGGAAAACAAAATTATAACATTAGTAGAAAGTATATAATGTCAAAGCGAAAGTGCTGAAATCACAATCTCCGTAATCAGCTTCCAACACAAACATATTTGGGGCGTAGCCTGAAGGTACCAGTGCAGCGGTGCATGACAAAGGGTTTCATTGGCTGGTGTGTGATTCTTATAGCAGCTATACATATATTGTTTCTACTATTTCTGTTAATCCTAAAAAATAACAACATTGTATACATAGAGTTGTTGAATGTGTGAAAAGTCACCTTGGATCTTGATATTGTGAATAATTTAAATACCAATCAGCAATCTGTAAGTAGTATTTTATTACCAACACCCCGCTGGGTACCAACCCTAACCGGTGACTGCTCGCTTGCCCAGCAGCCGACCATGGGGTTACTCCCCATATCGTATTTGTTTGAGGTGTGTGTGGGTGTGTGTGGGTGTGTGGCTGAGGGGCATATCAAACACTGAACGTTCTTGTTTGTTCGTTTGTTATTTAACGCTGCACTCATCAATATTCCATCTATGTGACGGAGGTCTGAAAATAATCGAATCTGGACCAGACACTCCAGCGATTGATATCACGAGCATCGATACACGCATTTGGGATACGATGACATGCATCAAACCAAGTCAGGGAGCCTGACCACCCGATCCCGTTACGACAAGCATGGGTTGCTGAAGACCTATTCTACCCCGGATCTTCACGGGTACAAACACTGGATTGACTTGACTGTAACACGTAGATAACGATTTGCTACAAAATAGATACATTTTCCTTCATATCGTCCAACTAAAAGTGAACTAGCATTGTAATAAACATCGACCGATGGTGGTCGGGCATCCTCTTTGGAAATATTTCCAATGGAAGTTTGAAGCCGACCTCTTTTAGAATTGAGAAAAAAAACCTGTAAATGTGCCTGAGCATTTGCCAAAGTGGAATACTGTTTGTCTGTATCATAAATCCTTTTGTAGCCCAAATCGTATACTAAATGATAAATATTTTCACTCACTCACTGATATCTATTTTAAAACTTTTCACTCACAGTTCACCAATTAGTTGTGTCGTTTTGCCTTGTGAGATATTCACCAATTATTTGTCATATGTGAGATGTTCCCTTTAATCCCCTATTGACTTTCTATTATAGGCATGCAATTATAATATGAATTTAGATAATTAGTAAGACGTCTATTATATATTATATTTGTAATCATTAATCGATGTAATTAAGAGCGAATAGAACTGTACCAAGATTTGACAGTGTTTAGAGAGAAATGGTCGAGCACATGAAAACAGGTGAGTGCATGTATATGTGGGACTCGGGCCAACAGGAATACCACATGTCAGGATGAGAGGAATGAGGGTTGAAAATAGCACCCGATCTGTCAGAAATAGGGCATAGTAGTTGTCCTGGGAGGCACCTAACAGAGGGCCAAATAAGGGATCGGGGTAAGAACCACTAGAGGGCCGTAATAGTCTATTGCAAGGGGGAAGGGTTACCGACCAATGGTAAGTGATAATGTTGCAAGTTGTGACGAAAAGGAGCGTAGAACAGACCTCAAGATAGGCAGTCTGATGCGCCCCCGCTCTCGTCTTACTATCACTAAAATTCGTACTCAGAAACAATCTCAAGGCACCAGAAGTTCGACTTAGACTGAAGCTTTGCGGCCGAAGTCTCTTAATTAAGTGACAAATAGAGTGGGTTGACCAGCGACACAAAGAGTGAATAAAAGCTGTTGAAAGAAGAACATCCTATTGTGATTGCTGGGGGAACAGAGGTGAAGGTCCATGCAAATACTGACAACTCATAATTTTGTGTAAATAAAAGAAACTATCTGCTTGAAACCAAAGCCCATCTTCAAAAAGAAGTCTCGACGTCAAAATAGCCATCCTCATCAATTCAACGTATTTCGTGAGCAAAGACATAATCTTTCACACCGAATCATAAGCATGATAGACAGTATGTCTATAATCCTTATTTATTTGTAATCATTTCAAATCTTCCATTTCAAGAGGCCATGTCATGCAAGTCACGTCGTACCCTTGGATCTCTCTCTCTCTCTCTCAGCACATCAGCACATGAAACTCCTTTTAATCCTTCAGAATGTCACGCTTGTTGATCTAAGACGTCTGATCACAAGAAATGGGATTCTTCTCAAAGGGCTAATCAAACTGTAGATCCTTGCTAAAAGGGCGACCTGGCTGTGCTGTAATTTGACGATCAAGGTGATCCCACAAGTGGTCTATAGGTGATAAATCTAGAGATAGTGCTGGCCAAGGTGATCCCACAAGTGGTCTATAGGTGATAAATCTAGAGATAGTGCTGGCCAAGGTGATCCCACAAGTGGTCTATAGGTGATAAATCTAGAGATAGTGCTGGCCAAGGCAAGATGTTGCATGGGGCCTTGTGTCATCTTTTTGAAACAGGGTACAGCGACCCTTTCCTGTTATGTTTCATTCCAAAATCAGTAGATCTGTTTTGACTTAGCTACAGATGACGCATTAACTTGACTGCAAATGCCGCATTAACTTGGCTGCAGATGCCGCATTAACTTGACTGTAGATGCCGCATTAACTTGTCTGCAGATGCCACATTAACTTGGCTGCAGATGCTACATTGACATGGCTACAGATGCCGCATAAACTTGGCTGCAGATGCTACATTGACATGGCTACAGATGGCGCATAAACTTGGCTGCAGATGCTACATTGTCATGGCTACAGATGCCGCATTAACTTGGCTACGGATGCTACATTGACATGGCTACAGATGCCGCATAAACTTGGCTGCAGATGCTACATTGACATGGCTACAGATGCCGCATTAACTTGGCTACGGATGCTACATTGACTGGGCTGCAGATGCCGCATTAACTTGGCTGCAGATGCTACATTGACATGGCTACAGATGCCGCATTAACTTGGCTACGGATGCTACATTGACTGGGCTACAGATGTCGCATTAACTTGGCTGCAGATGCTACATTGACATGGCTACAGATGCGGTATTAACTTGGCTGCAGATGCTTCATTGACATGGCTACAGATGCCGCATTAACTTTGCCACAGATGCTACATTGATAGGGCTATAGCTCGAATCTGCTCTCTCCTGTGAACATTGACCCTTTGCCAGTTTCTGTTCACGCAGCGTTGCAGTGTTCGAGCCCATCGACGTCTGTGTTCCGGTGTCAGCTTTACGATGTCTGGAGGTCTTCAAGCCAATTTTTGTACCGACGCAGTCTTCTGGACACTATCCAGCGACTGACAGGAAGACTGTCGCAGCTGATGACGCCAACATCATAATACGATCCCTCAGATGGAGCATACGCATGTAGCGTTATTGTGAGTGGTGGTGACAGGAAGTCTGCCACTCCTAGGCCTGTCTCACATCGGCCCAGTCTGCCCGAGTCAGGCCATGCACTTG